TGGCGGTGGCCGCAGACGTGGGGCGGAGCCGGGGTGTGGGAAGCCCCCAGCACGATATTGCGGTGCCCTTTTTTAATTCCAAAATGGTTAAACATAGGGGGACGATGTTTCCATTTGTTGTGCCATTTGGGAGTATTTGTCAAGCGTTCGTCCCAAATCCCCCTGTAGGGGGACACGCCCGACCTGGCCCTTCTTCTAAACCGGCTGAGCTGGATCTGCGCTGGGCCTGGTCTTCCCACGCATCCAGGGCTTCCCCGTCGCCGTGCCCCTCTCTGGCTCTCGCGCCCCTGGACTGCACCTGCTCTGGGCGTGGTCTCCTCGCCCCCCGCGGGCCCCCCGCCTCCCGCAGCGCGTGGCCTCCAGCTCCGCAGATGTCTTCAGATCTTCAGATGCGCCCCATCCGTCGCTCGAGCGCTGCCTGAGTCCAGCGGCCGCGGACCGAGATGCCCACGAGCCCTGCACGGCACGTGCAGTGCCGGGGGAGGCGGAGCGTCGCCCCATCCCACCATCACAGGGGGATGCGGAGGCCCTGGCGACGGGACGGGGTGGGCACGACCCTGGCCTTCCAGGAGGGCTAAAAAATAGCACCCGACTTAAAAACCTATCCCAAAGCTATTCTACGTCTTGGTTTTAGGCTGTTTCGCTCAACTTTTGAAGTTTTTTGGTCTCCAGTGCTAAAAAATAGCTCTCTGGAAGTTCAGGGGAGCGGGCACCATAGCTGGCTCAAAATCAAGAGAGGCATCAGAGCCTCAACCTTGACACTGTAGACTGATCCACTCACGGATCCCAATCTCATGATTGCATCATTGACGTCATTACATGCGCAGCATGCTTTCCCCACCGTCCTGCTTCTTAAACGACGTTGACCATCAGCGGTCTGGACCCATTTTCCCGGGGACCGGTTCTGCATCCCGAGTCGTCCTTTCACGGCCCCGGAGGCCCTGCGAGGGCCCCCAGAGGCCGCCGACGCTAAGAGGAGGGGGAGGAGGAGGAGGAGGAGGAGGAGGAGGAGGAGGAGGGAGGAGGAGGAGGAGGAGGAGGAGAGGAGGAGGAGGAGGAGGAGGAGGGGAGGAGGAGGAGGGAGGAGGAGGAGGAGGAGGAGGAGGAGGAGGAGGAGGAGGAGGAGGAGGGAGGAGGAGGAGGAGGAGGAGGAGGAGGAGGAGGGGGAGGAGGAGGAGAGGAGGAGGAGGGGAGGAGGAGGAGGAGGAGGAGGAGGAGGAGGAGGAGGAGGGGAGGAGGAGGAGGAGGGAGGAGGAGGAGGAGGAGGAGTGTTTCGCGCCCGAGGGCCGCCGTTCGCGCCCGCCCGCCCACCCGCCGGGCCAGGCCCCGCCGGAGGCCGGCGGCCGCGACCCCATCTTCGCGGACGGGGCCAGCGGTTCTCGCGCGGGGCGGGGGCGAAACCGAAGGCGCGCAGGAGGGGCCTCCCTGGGCAGCGAGAGCCAGGGGGGGGGGGGGGCAGGGCTCGTGTCGATCCTCCCGATTTCGATGTGGTTCGGTGTCGATTGCTTCCCATTTCGATTCGATGCGACCTCGGACTCCGATGTGGATTCCGATTTCTCCACGGAGGCCTAGCAGCCTGCCGATTTCCGCCGATTCGTCTTCTCCTGGCTCGGCTGCCGATGTCCGCCGATCCGATTCGTTTCGACCGCCCTTCCCGCTTGTCGATTCGATGCTGGGCTCTCCTGCAGGAGGGGCCCTTCTGGGTAGCAAACCAGGGAGTGGGGGGAGAGTGAGCGAGGGAGGAGGCCTCCTCAGAAGGCGTCGGGGCTCCTCGGAAGCCCTCGCGCCCTCCGAGAGAGGAGGCTCGCAGACAGGCTGCTCTGGAGGCCCGAGGCCAGAGGCACCGCCCAGACGTGGTGATATGATGTGCGCAGCGGCTCCGCCAGGGCGACGCACACGCCAAGAGGTCTTGCAGTACGAGCTCCGTGGCGGGCGTGTTCTGGCCATGCCGCTCGGGAATCGATGTGCGATAAGATTCGGGCAGCTCGATGGACGGCGGGGTTTGGGCTCGGCATTCGTCGAGCACGTGGCGAGGTTTGACCCCCACTCGCGCCTCCCATCCCTTCCGAAGATGGACGGCTTGGGGGAGGAGGGGGAGGAGGAGGAGGAGGAGGAGGAGGAGGAGGAGGAGGAGGAGGAGGAGGAGGAGGAGGAGGAGGAGGAAGGAGGAGGACGAGGAGGAGGAGGAGGAGGAGGACGAGGAGAGAAGAAGAGAAGAGAGGAGGAGGAGGAGGAGTTGAAGTTGGAGTTGGAGTTGGAAGAGGAGGAGGAGGAGGAGGAGGAGGAGGAGGAGGAGGAGGAGGAGATGTCGCCACCCTGCGGGCCCACGGAGGTCCACCCCCTGCGTTGGCTGGAACGCTCGGGTCTGGCCCTCCCGCGCCGCGGCACCACGGGCCACCTCCCGGCCAGGGGCCCCACTCCTGGCGTGCACGCGCCGCCCAGCGAAAGCGGAGGCTCGTGTCCAGATGGACGGCAACCGGAGGGGGCAACAGAAGTTGCGAGGGGGGAGGAGGGTGGGCAGGAAGGAGGGTGCGCGAGAGGCGCGCGCCTCCTCGCCCCCCGCCCATGGCCCCCGTGACCCCGAGCAGTCTCCGAAGGTCTTCGAGGCATAGGGCTGGGAGAACAAGCAATGACAGAATGACATGAACATAAAAACTCCTCGCAGATTTCTCGGATCGGCGTTGGGACCCATGGCGGTGCCTCCGGCGCCGCCCCTGGCGCGTGGAGTGCGCCACAGAGGAGGGTCCAGCGCCGATCCGAGCAATCCGCGGGGGCCTCCGAGTTTTTGTGTTGATGTCATTGCTTGTGTCCCTAAGGGTGGTTTCCATCAGCTGCGCCTCGTCGAGAGCATTCGGGGGTCTCGAGAATGAAGGCCCGAGAATTATTGCCCGAGAATCGCCCTGAACGGCCGCCGGAGGCCCGAGAATTATGGCCCGAAGGCCGGGGAGCCGCCCCTCCCCCCCATGGGGCAACGAGTTAGTGGGGGACTGGCCCACGGGGGAAGCATCGACCGCCAATCGCTCACTCAGGAGGAGGAGGAGGAGGAGGAGGAGGAGGAGGAGGAGGAGGAGGAGGAGGAGGAGGAGGAGGAGGAGGAGGAGGAGGGAGGAGGAGGATGGAGGGAGGGAGGAGGAGGAGGCGGGAGGAGGCGGAGGAGGAGAGAGGAGGAGGGAGGAGGAGGGAGGAGGGCGGAGGGAGGAGGGAGGAGGAGGCGGGGGAGGCGGGAGGAGGGAGGAGGGAGGAGGGAGGGAGGAGGGAGTAGGGAGGAGGGAGAGGGAGGAGGGAGGAGGAGGGAGGGAGGGAGGAGGAGGAGGAGAGGGAGGGGAGGGCGGCGGGAGGGAGGGAAAGAATGAAGGGAGGGAAGGAGGGAGGGAGGGAAAGGAAGAGGAGGAGGGGAGGAGAAGAGAAGAAGAAGAAGAGCAGAAGACGAATAAGATAATAATGAAATAGAGAGAAGAAGAAGAAAAGAGGAGGGGGAGGGCGAGAAGGGGGAGGAGAGGAGGAGGAGGAGGAGGAGGAGGGGAGGAGGAGGAGGAGAGGAGGCCGAGGCGAGGACGAGGACGAGGAGGAGGAGGAGGAGGAGGAGGAGGAGGAGGAGGAGGAGGAGGGGGAGGGGGAGGAAGGGGAGGCAGGGGAGGAGGGGGAGGCATGGGATGCGGGGAAGGAGGGGGAGGCATGGGAGGCGGGGGAGGAGGGGGAGGATGGGGGAGGAGAGGAGGAGGAGGAGGAGGAGGAGGAGGAGGAGGAGGAGGAGGAGGAGGAGGAGGAGCGCTCGAGGAAGCCCTGCCTGACCTCAAGCGGGGTCTGGGCCTGCCACCCCGCCCAGGAGCGCGGGGGGTCGCCGTCGAGTGGCTATCGCCGATCTGTCGGCGATGCTTTGGCGACTCCATGTCAACGCTCCACTCCTTAGAAGCCACCACACATGCAGCAGGACGCGTAGGCACGGCAACGGCAACCGTTTCGGGTTAAGTCGGGCCTGTCCCCCTACAGGGGGATTTTCAACGAAAAATACAAGATACCCCAAAAATAGTCAAAGAATAGTCCAAACATAGTCTTGGGACTATTTTTGGGTTGTTTTCTATTTATGTTGGTGTACTTTTGGGGTATTCTTCATTTTTCATCGAAAATCCCCCTGTAGGGGGACACGCCCGACATAAGTTCAGGGTCGCCAGAAGGGAAAATATGAGTCTGCATATACCGCAGTGCACCACCGAATTCGCGCTGGGAAACAAGAGGGGGGAGGAGAGAAGAGTATATTGCAGAAGGTGGCTCAGGTATGTAGGCAGAGTTTGTACACTTCTGAAGTCCATTGCTGTCTCGGCCGGCCGCGACGCCGGTGTTCCACCCAAACGAACGACGCAGATTGTCAGGCGATCGCGAACATGGATCAAGGGGGCGTGGATTAGCGACGGGTCACGTTTCCATGGGAAGTCGCGCGAATCTCCGCCGCCGAACGAGGCGTCACCGGCCGCACTTTGGGGGAACACGCCTCCCCCGATCCATGGATTTGGCGACCGCGCGCCAAACCCATGGATCGCCAATCCATGTTGGCGCGCCCCCGACAGTCGAGGGCCCGTCGCCGATCTGTCGGCGATGTTTTTGGCGATTCCACGTCAACGCCTCCCTGTACCGTTCCCCCTCGGATTGGGAGAGGAGGGGAATACGATTAAGTCGGGCTTGTCCCTCTACAGGAGGAAAACTCAAAAATAGTAAGAAGTAGTCTGGGGACGATGTTCTCCGTATGTTTGAGCATGTGGGGGGTACTTTTCTCTATATTGTTTCGCTCGAAATCCGTCTGTAGGGCGACGCGCCCGACCGAAGGATACGAGCTCCGCTGCATTGCGCTGGTCTCGTCTCCGTCGCCTGGGCGCCTTCCTCGGTACCCTGGCGCCTGGTGCCTGGGGCGCAGGCGCCAAGGAAATCAGCCACGTGATCTGGTACGTCCCTCCCCCCTTCGCCCGGCCCAAGGCTCGCAGTTGCACGAGAGCGTGATCGCCGCGATGGTGGACCAGCTGAAGTGCCCCGCCCTCCTCTCGTCTCGAAGGCAGTCTGCGGGAGGCTCTTTGGCAGTCTTTGGCCTCGGGGGTTCCTCACTGGGCTCTGGGGCCGGAAAACCATTGGTGACCTGGCATCGCTCGGACGTGTGTATGTTTTTCTCGGCGAGAACCGAGGACCATCCTGGACCATCGAGAAAAAAAAAAAAAAACACGCACGAAACCGAAACATGCACGCGAAATGGACGTCCGAGCGATGGCACGGTGATGAAAAGCCGGTCTTGGGAAGTGGTCTAGACCCGTGGGGGGCCCGCGCTGGTGAAGAAATCATCACGGCGGAGTAGCTGAATTGCCCGATCTCACCATCGCGAAGGCCATCCCAATCCCCCCACGGGGTCGCGCTGGCTCTCCCAGCATGCCCGTCCTTGGTGGGGAGGGGCGCTGAGCAGCCCGAAGGAGACAACCCCCGTTCCCACCTTGTGGAGGTAGATCGGCCAACGGGGCCAAGGGTTTTTTCCCCAGTGGGGGGTGGGAATGGTGTTGAAGATTACTGCTCCCACATGCACCTACCTCCCTTCCGACGCCGTTTTCTGGTACAAGCCCTCCCGACGCTAGGGCGGAGGGGTGGCTTAGCCCTTTTGACTTGCCCGTGGCGGGGCACGACCGCTTGTGGTGAAAAAGCTCATCACATCGACAAATGGTTTAGCTTCCCAGAGAAGTGGGAATTGAAAGAGTAGGAACAGCAAGTCGCGTCCACTTCACATCTCGTTGTTTCGGCGTCGCCGCGGACGTTGCCCCTGTGAGACAAAAGTCCGCCTGCCCAACAGCGGCCTCTGTTGGAATATGTGCTGTCGGGCATCGTACTCGTCGTTGTTTTAAATACCCATTCCGAGCGTGCCAGCAAGAGGGTAAGGAGGAGGAGCAGGAGGAGGAGGATCCGTGGTGGAAGAGATGCTGCCGCCCGTCCTTCGTTGACAGGGCCAGGCTCGCTTCGACTTCCGAGTCGGAGCAGACCCCAGGAGGTGTCCAGGGAGCAGCGGCATCGGTATTGCATTGGCAGAGGAGACGGTTGGTGAACATGGTTTGCCTGATCATGTACTCCAGATTTCGTAATAAAGGGAGGGGGGTCTCATTTCGGGGGGGGGTCTCTTCCAGGCTATCTTGGAGGGCCTGGGGGGGTCTGGGGACGATGTTTTGGAGGGTTCTCCCACGGGGGAGGTCTGAAATGGCTTGTCTTGGAGGGTCCAGACCCCCTCCCTTTTATTACGAAATCTGGAGTAAACAGCTTGCTCGGTTATGGGCCTCTTTGGGAGGAGGAGGTTTTACCTACCGTTTGCGGCCTACTGTGAGACCCTTTCCCTTCGTGGTTAGGAAAAGAAGGATGAGATCCTACAGGGTATACGATTTATGGGTTCTGGGGGCTTTTCGGAGTTTCCAAAGGTCTTGCGGTCTTTTGGAAATAAAGGAGGGGGAGGAGGACATGGAGGCGGACCAGGAGAAGGAGGAAAACGAGTATTAAAAGAAGCAGGACGAGGGGAGAGAGGAGCAGCAGGAGCAGGAGGAGCAGGAGGAGAAGAATAATATCGCTCATCCAGGCCAGTGTTTCAAGTTGCGTCCACCCGTGGCAACGAAGATTCCAAGAAACTTTCATTGATCGCCGAAACGAAAACGTCGTCGTCGTCGAGGTACGGCATCGCCAACGTGGGCGGCTCGTACGACTCGAGCGAGCGGGTGGGTGAGGCCGTCGTGGGTTCGAGGAAAGCCATGGCGGACATGCTCAACTGCAAGGCCCTCATTCCTCATCCTCCTCTTCCCTCCCGCTTCCTCATCTGCCGCCCTCCTCCTCCCCCTTCTTCTCCCCCACCTCGAGGAGGAAGGGCCCAGACACCTCGCGCCGTGAGAAGAGTGAGACCGAGGGTGTCGGGCAGACGTCGGCCGCCGAAACCAAGACGCGGGGCTGCCAAGAAACGACTCGGGCTGAAGAGCTTGTCCCGGGGATAGGGTCGAGACCTCGGGTGTTGGGTCCGCGCCGCGGACCAACATCTGCGTCGGCGGATTGTCGGCGCGGCATGGAGTGGGGTGCTCTCTCGGGGTGTGCGGATACAGTCGGACACGGGGAGGGTACCCTGATAATCTTCGTGTTTGTTGGATGCTCTTGTGCGCAATGGGGAGGTTACCCTTGGATGTTCTGTGCGTTTTGTCCTGCGGAGGGTCTCAGATTCTTGAGGGGTGTTCGTCCGGCCTAGGTCCGACTGCATCATGGCCGCCGCCATGGAATCTCTCTGATGTTATGTCTCACGACCCCCCTCGTCCGATTTGCTGACCCCCCTCTTGGGCGCCCCCGTCTTGGACGCCCCCGAGTCTGGGGACCCAGACCTCCGGTCGACTGGAAAGAACGAAGCGCGCCGAAGGTTTTTGGTATTCCGTCGCCCCCAGAGGCCGCTCCTGGGCTTCGGCACTGGGCGTCGCGCCGGGCAATCACCACGGCCGTCTTCCCCTGGCCCTGAGCAAAAGCTGAACCTCGGCAGTGAAGTGAATTATCGAGAAGGACCCCTCCTCCTCGATAATTCACCTCTCCTCCTCCTCCTCCTCCTCCTCCTCCTCCTCTTCTCCTCCTCCTCATCTCTCCTCCATCTCTCCCCTCCGATCCTCCTCCCCCTTCATCCTCCCCCCCCCCGCCCCCCCTCCTCCTCCTCCTCCTCCTCCTCATTCTCCTTCTCCTCTTCCTCCTGCTCCTCCTCCTCCTCCTCCTCCTCCTCCTCCTCCTCCTCCTCCTCCTCCTCCTCCTCCCCACCCTGAAACGTCGATTCGTGAATTGTCCGTTTTCGGTTCTCGAGAGGGCGCCGCGGCCGTCACTCTCCAGGCTTGCGCCCGCCAGGTTTGGGTCCGAGGTCGTCTTCACTAAACCGCGTCGTACCAAAGGGGGTGCTGTCTATCCCCGAGAACCCGCGACGGAATAGCGGCCCCGGGGAGGCGGTCAACATCGACGTCGGGGGGGATCCCGAGGACCCCCAGACCTCCGGAGGCTACGGCAAACCGCAAGGGGTTTCGAACCAGTCCCGCCTCCAGAGGCCCTCCTTCTGGCCCTCGAGCCGGGGGCTCGAGAGACGGGGGTCAATGCACACGGGGGGCAGCCAGAGCGCTGGATCGTGCAGGATCCTGCAGGGCCAGGGTCGCATTGACCCTCGTTTGGGCGCAGGATTCTGCAGGATCCTGCAGGGCCTGGCTGACCCGGCTCCGGATCGACCCGGGTCAGAAGATCCCCGATCGAGGCCGTCAGAAAAACGAGGCATCCCAAAACCCTTCGCTCCTGTAGCCCCCAGAACCCTTCGCTCCTGTGGCCCCCCTCCTCCTCCCTCCACACTTACTCAATATGAATACTACTCTCCCTCTTCCCCTGATGACGGTTTGAAAGTGCTCGACCCCCCCCCGCGCGTATTGTTTTTTACACACAGGTTTCCCCAGAGTTGGGTTTTCGCCTGCATTTGTTTCCAAAATGCTGCTCTCGCTAAGGCGCCGGCCTCATTCTCGGGCCCCGCTCGTTCCGAATCGTGCTCCCGCTGCAGCGCTGGCCTCATTTCCGTGCTTCCGCTCGTTCCGAATCGTGCTCCCGCTGCAGCGTTGGCGTCATTTCCCGTGCCATGCCACGGCATGCAATGCAATGCTGGTTTGATACTAAGCTTTGCGGTGCCTTTTCACGCCATCCATTGCCGTGCTCTACAATGCATCGCGTAACCTCTCGCAATTATTGTCTGCTCGACATCCGACTTGCGAAAGTAGAGAGGGGATTGCGCCATGGTATGGGATGGGTGGGAGGGGTAGGATGTCAGATATGACGCGAGCGCACCTAGCTTGCCCCTCCCCCCTCCCCCCTCCTCCCTCCTCCCTCCTCCCTGAATCACAGCGTCTGGTTTCCCCTGGCCTGCCGAAAAAGGCGGCCCTCGACGGAGGCGCGGCCCCGAGGGTGGGCTCAATCGGGTCGGACGAGAGGTGGGGCACATCGGGAGGGTACGACATCCGGGCGGGGCTGGGGTCGGGAGGCATCGCTCTGGTCTGGACGCCCGACATGGGCACGGAAAGAATGGGTACGATGCCCAACAGCAGT